ACTGGTGTAAGTAATAATAATATAGTCATAAATGCAAATTAAACACTAAAATTTCACCTGGAGATACCAGCTTTTTAACTGGAAGGGATTCGGAGGCGATATATTCTCATGTTTCATGGACATAGAACAGGAGCTCAGAGAGGTGAAAACATGACATTAGTTACTGGTTTTGCTAGAATGAAAGCTCTTGGGCTTTCTAATCAGAGAGAATGTTTGTTAGAACTTGCTAACAAACACAGGAAAAGAGCTCAAAACCAATATATGCCGTTGACTCATCAAACAAGATAAAAATAAAACTGCCCTGCTTGATTTGCTTGCAATGTAGCATACGTGTGCAGAGGACTACCCACCGAAGTGTGCCTTGCCTGAACCACACCTAGAGACTGTTTGTGCCTCACCCACGAGTCACTGTCCCTCAGCTACTTAAACTTCAACTGTTGAAAGAAAAGCACAAGATAAATTGGAAGAAAATGAAAAGCCGCATGAAAAATTCATCAGATTGATTTCAGTTCTGTGTGCTTTTGCAAAATATATAATCTCCTTCTACATAAAAATGGAAAGGCCATTTTATTTTGATGGTGGTTCTGTTTACATGGTGTTTAAGGTTGAATTGGAGTACGAGTTCCATCCAATGATTGCGGATGTGAATCAGCAAAATCAACGTAAGTTTCAAGACCTCGGCAACATGAAAATGGGACAACAATTCAAGGAAGAGCAGAGGCAGGGACCAGTAACACGAGTCAGCTTCCTTAAACCAGCATCTGTACCAGTGGCCGGGGCGCCTGTGTGGGGATGCGCATCCCTGGGGATTCCAGGGGGGATGCACAAGCTTCCCGTTGCTTCCCCTTCTCTCACGACAAAAGTATTTGTAATGTTGCAAGAGCCATACACACAGCAAAACAAAGCAGAAACGAAGAAGTCTGTCCATATTAAATACAATTCTTCTCCTTTCCAGCACATTGTTAAGGCGCAACAGGGTGTCTTAAACTATAATAGTTAAACTAGCAAAGAAGGTTGAGTGTCTTCCGTGTATGATTAGGTAATGTCACAAATTATAAGGATGACTGTTTGCACAATAATTCCAAGACGTGGCTTCTAATATATTCAAGGAGATTGCTCCACCACATTTAGAAGGAGCTCTGATCAGCAATTCTAGTGCATCTGTTTTAGAGGATCCTTCTCTTACTCTCTTTACCCAGTAGTTCCTGGGATATCGATGGGCCACCATCTGATCCCACTCCCCCACCACGTGACTTTAGGTGACTGTGAATATTTGCGACATTCAGACTGAACACTGACACTGAATAAACTGAACGTGGTTGGAGACAAACCCCCTAAACTTGGAGCAAGAGCCTTTTTAATATACATCACTCAGCTAGTAGGTATTTTATTCAGCACTGGCTTTGCTCTGTGACAAATCCATGGTTGGTCACCCTACACGGAATATTTGCTTGGGAACTCAAGTGAGACTCTCCACCTGTGGGCCTGGAAGTAGCCAGACGATCCCGGTCAGTCTAGCCGTCACCTATACGTCAGTGGAATTGACTGGATATTTATGTCCTCCCAAAATTCCTATGTTGTAATCCTAACGCCAGATGTGCTGATGTCAGGCCGTGGGGTCATTAGGAGGTGATAAGGGCATGAGGATGGAGCCTCATGAATGGGATCCTATCCTTGCAAAGAGACCCTCGGAGAGCCCCCTTCCTTCTTTCTACCATGTGAGGGCAAAGAAGAAATCTGCAGTCTGACACCCACAAACAGGCTCTGACCAGAACCCAACCGTAGGAGGCACCCGATCTCAGAAATCCAGCCTCCGCAACTGTGAGAAATACATTTCCGTGGTTATAAGCGACTCAGTATGTGCTACTCCTTTACAGCAGCCACAGCTAACTAACGCAGTTATAAAGGATCGGGTATGTATTGCATTTTGAGGATTTTTATCATTTGAGTTTTCAAGGGACCTCCATCCATCTCCAGGCTCACACTCAAACCACTCCCTAACTCCCCGTGGCAGACATGATTAAGCCAACAACACTCACGTTTCTGTGAAATGTCCTTCTAGGAACTTGATTCTGTAAGTCACAAACTTTGAGAGCATTCTCACTTGTGTAAGACTATATACTGTACATACTGATGTCTCTCTGACTTTGAGCATTTTGAGCACCTCATAAACCAAATGCAATCAGACCTTTAGAACTCAGGACTGATCTCAGGACACCTTAAGGTAATGCCATTTTCATATTCATCTTATTTGAAATACGTCTTTTGAGTACTTGTGTGTGCCTTATGGATCTCTGGAGCCCCAGACTATCCTGGAGAGCTATCTGAACAAGATAAGTCATCAATTCACATCATCTCACCTCAGCTCTGCAAAGTCCAGGGCTGGGTTAGGGTACACGGGCACATAGAGTAACATAGACACAAACTTGGGTAGATAATAAGTGACCAGGTGGGGAGTAAATGTGCCATGTCATACCTGTGCATTAAAATGCCATGCACACAGTGAAAATAATGCACCAAGAACATATTCTAGCACAGAAAATGTGCAGTGTGTTGCTAACTTAGATATGCAGGGCATCAAATAGAATGCTCACACTCAGGTTGTGTGTGCTTGTCCAGCTTGTTCAAACACAAGCCTAGATCTTGCTGGCATCCTCCAAAGGGAGGGGCTGAGGGGGTCAGAGTCCCAGGAGGCTCTGGGAAGAAGGTGGAGGTCTCATGTGCAGGACAGCCTGAGGCGGGCAGGAGTCTAGAGCAAATGCACTGCTCTGACAGGGCCACACTTGGATGCTCACCCCTCAGAACTGCAGCCTTGCTGTGTTACAGAGGGGAACAACCCAGAGACAGGCAGAGATTGGCCGACATACAGGGGCATCTCCCTCCCCACTTGTCCCTCTTGCGCACCCTGGGTGGTGGGGCATGAAGGTGGTGCCATGAGCCACAGGAGAATGTGCCTGGTCCCTCTAGCTCCAGCTCTGGGTACAGGTAACAGTCCCGCTGGAGGGGTGAGGGTGGTGGCAGCAACAGGAGGTGCCAGCCAAGGATCAAACCAGCATCCTAAGAATAGAATTGAATCTCTCCAGAGTGAGAATGGTTAATAACTGGCCACAGCTGACAAGGTACAGAATTGGAGGGGATGATGCTAAAGGATGTGGGGGCATCCACAGGACACCCTATAACCACCACATGTGGAAGGTATATGGTCTGGCCTTGTTCATACTTTGTCACCAACATACCTCAATCAGACCCCTCACATACACCCAGGGAAGGGACAAGAAGAAGTACAGTGCTTAATTCCAAGACATGGGCATGTGCATACATTTTATTTTCTCCTTTGCAAATTCTATGATACATTCTTTTCCTATTATGACTGAGTTTAAGGTAGTATATATGAGGGGAGCCTGAGAAGTGCAGTCGGTTAGGTGATCGACTCTCGGTTTCGACTCATGTTGTGATCTCAGGGGATTGAAGCCAAGGTCAGACTTTGTGCTCAGTGAGGAGTCTGCTTGGGGTTCTCTCTCCCTCTGCCTCTGCCCCACCCCACCCTTGCACATGTGTCCTCTCTCTCTCTCTCTAAAATAAATAAATAAAGGATTTTTATTTATTTATTTATTTATTTATTTATTTATTTATTTATTTATTTATTTATTTTAAATTTTATTTATGACAGGCACACAGTGAGAGAGAGAGGCAGAGACACAGGCAGAGGGAGAAGCAGGCTCCATGCACCGGGAGCCCGATGTGGGATTCGATCCCGGGTCTCCAGGATCGCGCCCCGGGCCAAAGGCAGGCGCCAAACCGCTGCGCCACCCAGGGATCCCAAATAAAGGATTTTTAAAAATAAGGTAGTATATGCGTATTAGTCACTTAAACACAGAAAAAATATATATGGTCAATTTGCTACTACTTTACATGTTACAGCCAACCAACATGCCAGCCCATTTTACATACAATAATAAAAATTATTAAGTAAAATAACTAAAATATTGCCCTATGGAGTTTATGTATCTCACCACCCAACACTAATTCCATTCAATGGTCAGTATCAGCTTCTAATACTGAAGGAAAAAAAGAGTATGGAAATTATAATCAAGGAAGCAATAAAATGTCCCCAACATTACTCATATAGGATGGGCTTAGAAGCTTGGGAAAAACCACAGGCTTACTTCTACATGTTGACATACTCATGCTAGCACAGGCCATTAGATGATGGACAAACCAAATACTATACAAACCAAATGTCTAATGACAAGGGGTGGCACTGGCCTTAATTATAATAGTGTCTTATTTCTTCACTAATGGCTAGTGATCATCATGTAAATAGTACCAGAAAGCACCTAACAGCAAGTTATTTTTGTTATGGTTTTTGTTTTTATGATAATTCTAATGACACTGAATAAAGAGTATGGCATTTCTTTTGCTTCCTCTTCACTGTTAATTGCTGCCCCTTCCCTCAGCAGGAGAGACAAATGATGAGGTCTCCTGGAGCCCTGAGGGGTCAGATTGGCACTGCAGATAAGCCATACCTATGGGTAAGTAAAATATGGATTTGTGAACGAAGAAAAACATAACTTTTTTTTTCTTTCCTGTATTGAAAATGAATCTTTCAGGAAATGTGTAAGGAATGTCTACCTCAGCTGCCTTGATTTTAACATAACATTGTTAAGCATGTGGCTGCATGGGGTAAAGTCTCCATTACCAACATAGCCTGCCTTCCCCAGATAGGGGGTCATGGATCCCCAAAGAGTATAGTTCAATATAATTGGTTTCCTGCAATCTATATTTTTTGTGTGCATTTAAACATGTTATTCTGAGACACAGTTCATAGAACTCTGGAATGGCACAGTTCACAGCATGGAAGAGTTAAAATGATATTTCTGAATAGATATCCACAGTGATATCACTTGTTTCTCCACCCTTTTATTTATTTATTTTAAATTTTTCCCCTCCTTTAATTTTAAAAATTTTTTAAATTATTATTATTATTTTTTTTTTTTTACCAGGGGAAAGTGCGAACACGGTCCCCCACTACCACAAATTATGCAGTCGAGAGGTTCCCACATTTGGGAAATCGGAGGGGTCAGCACATCTGGAGTGCAATAGCTGAGCCTTGCCCTGGGAAAGCCAGCTTCATGATCATGGTATCTCCCCTGCCAGGTAAGTATCCCCTCCTTTTATTTTAATCAGAACTGCCCTCACCTTGCTTCTATTCAGGTTCTATGGATTTCCAAGTGTGTATGTTTGTCCTAGACAACTGTGTCCCTCCATGGGGATGCTTGCAAGGTGGCGGGCATGGAAGAGCATGGCATTTAGAAGAAGGCAGGGCAGGAGTCAACCCCAGCTCCAACACAACTATGTAATGAGAACATGGGGAAGACCTCTCTGCTCCTCAGTTTGCACATCTGCATGGGATTGCACATAGAAAAAAATATGTAGCTTAACACCTGGTGTAATCCTACATTATAATGCATTAAGTGAAGAAAATATAACGACGTCAAAATTACACTTGAGGTTATATTTAACCTAATGTGTGAAAATGTTAAATTCACACTTTTTTTTTCTGCTTTAGTCATCAACACATAAACTGTTTTTGGGGTGATTTTTATTAGTTTGAGATCTGTATCTTAAGTGTAGTTCCAAAATGCATTGGTGCTTAATATAGATGAAGAGCATGTCAGAGTGAAAAAGAAGTGGGTAGGGTGCTTTAGGAGCCAAGTCACATGATTTGATTACAGCTTGTCTTCCTAACAAATACCGGAATTAAAAAAAGGCTAATAGAAATATGTTCAAAATGTCATTTGAGGGATCCCTTGTTGAGTCAGTGGTTTAGCACCTGCCTTCGGCCCAGGGCGTGATCCTGGAGTACCGGGATCGAGTCCCACATCAGGCTCCCTGCATGGAGCCTGCTTCTCCCTCTGTCTGGTTCTCTGCTTCTCTCTCTCTCTCTCTCTCTCTCTCTCTCTCTCTCTCTGTATCTCTCATGAATAAATAAATAAAATCTTAAAAAAAATGTCATTTGACCACCAGCTATCGTCAGGACTGCATTCTGCCTACCAAAGAGCAAGCGTTTGGAGGATAGACAGATCAAGCCATCCTTGCCTCTTCCGCAAAGCCTTGCACTGCACTTTGAATGAATCACCTCTTCAGTCCATGTTCAGTGCATGACGCTAGGGAGACCCATAGTCCAGATTGAATGTTGCTAATCCAATGATAGTTTTTAGAGATCAGGTCCTTTGATCTTCTTCAAATATTTCCACAAATTCAAGACTCAAGTATGATGCTCTGGATGGAAAATTCAATGTTTTTTGTATAGGTTTGCACTGGAGAACAACTTTTTTTTTTTCTCCTTTGCAATGGCTTACTGTGACAAAATTTTAGGTCAAGATTTTATGAACAGTTCAAGATTATTATGATTCTTAATGAATATGGGAAAAATGAGATAAATGAAAAATGGTAACTATTAAAATGTCAAGGACTCTGGATATCTTGAAAATTGTCTTGGGGAGTTACCATGAAATCCTAAATGATAATTAACTATGTACACCTACAAATCTTTATCATTATAATTTTTCCTGGTAATAATTTATTTTTAGTCATAATATCTCAGTGAGATTTGCTTCCTTTTATTGTTGTAGTCTGAAATTTCAAGTGTTCCTCTTTAACTACCCGAACACAATGAAATGTAATGCTGTACTCATTATGACAAGATTCTAGCTAGAATTTCAAAACAGTTCCTTTATTCAATACATTGATGATAATTCTTTACTGATCATGCCACATCAATTTTTGTTTGCTTTGGTTATTGTAGCATGTAAGAAAAGTACTGAATATTAAAAACAAACAATATTATAGAAATCACAGAAAAATCAATGCAAGCCAGGATTACACAGAACCCCACAATTCTTTACTTAATATACTTGTTTTTTAAGTGGAGAAATTGAATCTCAATGATGAAATTACATAGTCAGATAAAAATGTGAAAAGTCTTTAGAAATTTAGGTTGAAATAAATTTGTTGTACTGTCATTATAATAATTAAAAATCATTTTTATTTTTTAAAAGATTTATTTATTAATTCATGACACACAGAGAGAGAGAGGCAGAGACACAGGCAGAGGGAGAAGCAGGCTCCATGCAGGGAGCCTTACGTGGGACTCGATCCTGGGTCTCCAAGATTAGGCCCTGGCCTGAAGGCGGCGCTAAACCGCTGAGCCCCCGAGCTGCCCTACATATCCTTTTTAAAAAGCTACTCTATGTAAGTAATGAATCATTGAATTCTACTCCAGAAACCAATATTGCATTATATGTTAACTATCTAAAATAAATAAATATGACATGGGGGGAAAAGAATACACAATGATGATGAACACTGAGTAATGTATAGAATTATTGAATCACTGTGTTGTATATCTGCAACTAATATAACGCTGTATGTTTACTGTACTGGAATTTAAATTTTAAAAAATAAAAATTTAAAAAGGAAAAATAAAAGCTAAGCAGGGTAAAAGGCATTTGGGTTGATGTTATTTTTCTAATTTCCATAATACAATTTTGGAGAGTTATTTTATGAATTTAATTCTTCCTTATCGTGTTTTTCATATCTAGATGCTCAGTGCCTAAGACATTATGATATGCTGCAACCAGAAGTAGAGGAATTCAAATTCCAGCCACCACCTTCTATCTAGTTGACCTTGCGTAGGTGCCTAACTTCACTGAGCATCAGTGACTTGACATATAAATTCACAAGAATCTTTCACAATCCAAATGATTGCTGTAAGGATCAAGTAATCTTACATACTCAGAGTATCTAAGATGAAAGAAACATTGGTGTGGATTCTTTTTCCAGTAAGTTAAACAAAAATATGTAAAGTGCAGGAAGTGACAACTGTAGAGTAAATGGAAATGCAAAATATACGTGAACCCTTATTAGCCCTCGGCCAACTACTTCATTTCTACAATTTTCTCAAATTTTACCAAAATATATATGAAAAGTTAAAGGCCAAAGAAAAATAATTCTAAGGCCATTACTGTGTGGATGGAACATTCACAATATGTTCAGGGTGGTTTATGCACCTGGACTTTGTGGGGCAGGGGCCAGATTCAAGCTTTTGCTTCCTGCAAAGACCTTGGGTATACCTAATTATGAGGGATAACCATTATATGTGGAAGTTATGAGGAGATTGTTACTTTATTTGCCTGGCTCAACAACATTTATTTAAGACAACCCTAAAATTCCTGGACCAGAAAAAAATCCTTTATTTACATGTAGATAATTGTACTTTGGAAAGAAGTAATGGAGACACACGGATGTCCAGCTCCCACAACTGACAGCTCTTACGGCTTGTGTCTCAATTTAAGTGTAAAGTACTCCCCCCGCCCCAGAGAAAACATTTTCATCCTGCCATTTCTAGGGCTGGTGGGCTGGCCAGCTGTCTTAGACAGCATTATCACCCCTATAATGACACAACAAAATGAGATGTGGCTGCTCGATGAATTATGTCTTTTCTTTACAATATAGTTAGGTTTTTATTCATTTTACTGAATGTGCTTTAGAAAGTGAAGCATCTGCCTGTTTGCTTTTCAAGAGCTCAGTGACAATATGGCATGTTAATGCCTTACTCTATCTTTCTGCATATTCTTTTTTCTTTTTGCATTTCATAACTTTTTTCACCAGAATGGAAGAACATAAAGGTCATAGAAATGTCTAAAAATTTTTATGGAGTGGGTTTTATCCAGGTCTTGAAAATTAAATTTGTATTTTTATACTTAAATTCAAAATTAATTTTTGTCAGCATGTAGTCTTCAGTACATCATTGGTGTATTCATTCAAAAGCCGTTGTTTGGTTTCTCTCTCTCTGAGCATCATGATGAATGATATCAATTTGCAGTTGAATAAAACATGGTACCTGCCCTCAGAGAGCTTGCAGTGCCAGAGGGAAGCCAGTTCTGCAGAAATACATGTTCCAACACGTATTTATGTAATAGCTGTGGTAAGTGTTACAAAGGGGAAAAAAGAAAATAAAAGTGAGGACCTAAAATCCAAAATGCCCATAAAGAAAGGACTTTCATGCTTGAAACACAAAGCACAGGCAGGCAAAACCTGAAGGCAGCATTCTGGGGAGCAGGAACAACCTGCACGAACACCCAGAAGTAGGAAAGCATCGGTATTGTACGTATTTTGGCATCTCTGAAGGCAGACTAATGCCCCCCACCAAGGATATGCCCATCCTCATCCCAAGAACCTGTGCATGTGTTCATGTACTTGACCATGGGGTCTTTACAGATACAGAATTAAGGGTTTTGAGATGGGAAAATTGTCCCGGATTACCTGAATGGATCCAGTGTTATCACAATGGGTTCTTAACTCTGAGAATTTTTCCAGGCTCTGATCAAAAGGAGTTATCACTGGAGAAAAATGGTTGGAAAGATGTGAGTCTGCTGGCTTTAAAGATGGGGAAAGGGGGCTATGAGCAAAAGAATGTGAGTAGCCTTTAGAGGCTGGAAAAGACAAGGGAAAATGCTGCCCATTTTTCCTTCAGAAAAGCAGAACTTGCTGAGCTTGGATTCTAGGTCAATGAGAATCTTGCCAGGAATACATTTTGGGGTATGATTTTTAAGGCCCTAAATTTGCAGTGATTCATTGTAGCAGCAAATAAAAATTTATACCTCTTCTCTCTGGAATGAGCAAAGCCTGTTCGCAATGAATAAAGGGAAATCAAAATCAAAGTATCCTCCGTTATTAAACAGCTAGATTCTGAATGCGAATCAGCAGAGGACTTGCAATCAAAAAGCAGCCATTCCACTCGTATGTCACGTTGATCCTTGGTCACCGGCACAGTAGGGCTGGAGGGTCAGGTGGGTTGGTATGCAGGGATGTAGGTAGGTAGGTACATACATACATCCATACATACACATAAATACACAACTGGAGATAAATTAAAACTAAAAACTCGAGCATCTGTGGGTGTTTAGTCCTTAATTATGTGTGCTGATGGTGGACTACATGTGCTATACCTAAGAAATCTAATTTCAAAACAGTTATTGACAATATAACCTTGTTATATTGTCTCTGATAATCAATCCATGGGGTAGTAAGAAGAAAATTGAGTTTTTTCAGGTTTTACTTTTGTGTTTGTTTTCTAAGAATTAGAATTCTTTTCCACTTC